GGAGCAGAAAGCAAACAAAAATGATTCTTTTGGGAGATTTTACTACTTTCATTTACATCCTTCACCGGTGATCCCTACAGTTGGTGGCTTTTGAGATTAACACTGAAAAAATAAACGACTTTAGAGTGGACAAATGACAATGGTGAAGAGACCTACTGGCACTCCATTTCACCTTGTGGGGGGTGTCGCTCGTAGATCCCCCACCCTCAGATATCAGTTATTCCTGCTCCTCTTTTTTGACCTCACTGACACCCTGCTGGGAAGGTTTCTGGTTCATGTTGTCACTGGTTTTACTGCTGAAGGACGTCAGCTGACAACAAAATCAAAAGGACAACGTGCGCCAGTTAAGATAAGAACTTTGTTTATCCCGACGGAAATTATTTTGTCTTAAACATGCTCAGTGCAACAAGAGGAATAATGAAAAGACAGTAGAGAACAGTAGTAATAGTGCAAAACAGAATAACAAAATAAATCTAACAAAGTGACAAGTAACTGTAACAGATATAATAAAATAACAGATAATTAATGCAAGTGGTTATGAAAACTGACAGTGTTTGTGTCATGAATAAAATGAGACAGCAACTTGTGATAAGGGGATGTAAACAAACATTCAATAGCATACAGGTGAGTAAATAAAAAGCAGATGAGTAATATTGTACAATCCGAATGAGAACCTAATCACATAAATGCTGAAATAAATCACCTACAGAAAGGGGAAGAGTTATACAGTCTTATTGCCACAGGTAGAAAGGAAAACTAGCTAGCTACGTTAGCAGTCAAAACTACGAAACCACCAAAAACATCTTACCGTGTCGCTAATGTAAGTACTGTAACTGAAAACTTTCACCAAGTGGTATTTCCCCGTGTGTCTTTCAGTAGTGATTAAACTCGCCATAACGTCAGCTAAACAGCCGCCCGCCGCCGCCCATCGTTACCTGATCTGCAGCTGCAATGATGTGTCATCGCGAACGACTTGGCTCTGTGAGCCCGCTCCTCTCCGTGGACGATGGGAACTGGCTGCCGTCTGAAAGCCGATGTCTTTTTTTTTCTTTCATTTATATGTTAATTAGTACAAGTCAATAATATGGTGATCTTTTCATCACACTGCTCGTCCACATTCGCGCCATGTACTGTCTGAACGCTGTGTTGACGTCCCCGCGACCAATCACATGTGAGGACTGACAAGGATCATACCATCAGGCTAAAGGGGAGGGGGGCTGATGGTCTTTCTGATTTTTTTGCTTAGTGTGGGGATCACCAGTGACAATCATAATCCAATATATACTCTATTGGCCCGAATATAAAATGACCACACCACTTTTCGCCAAGTATTTATAGGAAAATGGTTTTTGGAATACCAAATCTTACCTTTATGAATAAAAATAGTTTAATTTAATAAGAACATACAGTAAATTAACTAGCAACCACAGCTTAAAAAGTAACCATAGGCAATCGGATTACAAGTGTAATAAACAGCAAACGTTCAAAAAAAATTATGAATATTACAAACTCCACAACTTTAGCGCTCCTTAGAAGATAGACTCCGTGCACGCGTCTTTCAAGGTATGTGGGAAAAGGAAAATAATTGACACATCAGGTTTCGAACACAGCCATGGAATATTTCTCTTTTGGAACAAATTAAACTTTAGTGGTTAAATATTTAAAAGGCTTAATTAAAAGGTTATATGATGATATGCAATTAGAGTATTATAAAGAACTATACATGATTTTAATTAATTTAATTTCAGGTATTTATTGTGTAATTTTGTTCCTTATAAAGCTCCTACTATAATTTGTCGACCCGTTATGCTATTCTCATTAATTAAAATATAGGTGTATTGAAATTAATAATAAAATATTTTGTATTATATATAGAATTGTGACTGGATATTCACACCCTCAGAAAAAAGCATAAAACACCATTGGCTTTTTATCACATTTACGGCATTGCAAATGTTGCTGGGGTACACTGTAATAGCATGTCCTAAGGATGCCCTGAGGCCTCATCCCTGTTGGATGTATCTGAAGCACCTCCTCAGCGAGGTCTCCAGAAGGCATTCTAGACAGTTGCCAGAATCACCTCAGCTGGCTCCTTTTGATGTGGAGGAGCAGCGACTTCACATTGAGCAGCTCTGAGATGTCCAGGCTTGCTTACTGGGGGCTTTGGACAGGGATAATGTAAAGCGCTCTGAGACAATGTAACATTGTGAAAATGCCAAATACAAATAAAACTGAATTGAATATTGAATAATAACATTAATCCCTAAAACAGGTGAAAATCTACTATGTCGATTGATATCTGGCACCCAGTTAGACTTCTTAACAATGATTATAAGACCTTGTCTTTATCTTTTGCTGATATGGTTAAAACCGTTCTTGATTCTATTGTAAATGAGACACAATCGGGATTTATTAGATCTTTTTGTATGTGTATATTGGTTTATAAATGCTCTGTGAAGTTCGATAAACAAATAAATAATGAAAATGACCGCTCCTTATAACATAAACAACTGAATAGACGAACGCTTTAAACACGCCAATCGCCGGTCAGCTCACGTGTCACGTGGTAGGTGTTGTGTGCGGTTTCGGCCAACCAGGAGCGTTGATGTGAAAATTTAAAAGTAGGAAGAAGGTTTTGCGGAGTGCTTTACCGCTAGTGCTGCACTTCACTTTTAATTGTGGGTATCCTAGTTTAAAATGGCAGATGAGTCTGCGGTTAAGGTCTGTGTCAGGGTTCGCCCGTTAATACAGAGGTGAGGTTATCTTCTATTTGATTCTTTTAAGACTCAGATATTTCATATATGGATTGAATAATAGACCCGGTCCTCAGACCGGAGATCGCCGTAGTGAAACCGTGTAGCAATGCTTCTGGTGTTTGATTGCTCTTGGCGACGTCGTTTAATGTGTTGTCTAGATCATTTAGCATACTTTTGAAGATCGAGTGGCTTCGTGTCGCTATAGTTGCATGTGGGGGGGGCGAGGTTCTTGATCAAAAATTTTGAATGGCCTCCATAGTCTAACGATTCATGTATTTCCTTTGTCGGTGACGAGGTTCGGGTCGTGTTCTGACGAGCTGTCAGTGTTACTGGTGTTACTATTACAGATAAATAACCCAGACAAATGGCTGCGTATTTATAGTGCTTCGTTGGCTCAGGCGCTCGGTCGCTTGATCGTTTTAAGTGATGTCTTGGATGGCAGACATCGTGTGAGTTTTGCTAGCCACCGTAATCGCAGTTGGCAGTGCATTGTTAAGTCGGTTTTAGTTGGTTTTTCGTTTTCCATTGAGAAAGTTGGATTCATAAGCAAATGATCATTAAATGAAATCTTGATTAATTAATATTTGTTAATGAACAATTTTTAAATATTTTGAAACCCATGAATTACATCAGAACTTCCCTTCCAGATTAATTTTGCCATTATTTGGCGGTACTGCAGCTCCTTAGACTGTAGACTATTTTCCAAACACAGCAGAGCATAAAAACGTCTAAGAACTTTTGCGCTGTTTAAATGTTACTACGTGTGTATAAACTGGTATTATCAGTATTAGGGTTCTGAGTTGCTGCATGTCTGTTTCAGCTGGGGGAACCAAATATCCTGGATGTCAGGAAGTAATGTTTCCCCCTCATATTTGGGCAAAGTATGTGAGATGGTTGAAAGTCATTCAGATACATAATTACATGTGCATAAACTAGTTTTATTAGTACTGAGGTCCATAGATGCTGTCTATTTTAGCTGGAGGAGCCCTATTTTTTAGGTTTAAGATAATATTTCTTTTCAAATCTATGCATAAACGTATTATTGATGGTTGAAAAACGGATTCAGCTACGCCTTTCCATGTAAACAGACTTATGTCACCAATTTGGTGTCCTGTTATTTCTCTATCTGTGTGTTAGCATAGGAAACCATATTGTTTTAATATAACTTGATTTTGTCTGCTTACAAAGACATTGTTGTGTGTTGTAGTTGATAAATGTAAGGAGTTGGTTGCTACAATTAAGTTATAACAAGAAATTGACAATGTCACATACAATATAGGTGAAGTTGTTCAAGCAATACTACTGTTTTTTATATTTTCCCAGCAAACATCTATTACCAGCGACTTAAATAATTTGAATTATCTTTGAAAACACAGAAACTTTGAAAAGGCAGGCATGTCTTTTTACATATATGGCTTGTTTACCTCAGCACTTTCGTAGAAAGACATTAAAATGAGAGAGAATCTAACTAAAGCAGCAGGTGATGTCATGATTTTTGATCAGCACACGACGGGGAACATGGGGCAGCTGAATTTCCTGTAACACCAGTACTAGTTTTTATGCCAATAGAAATCAAACACCTTGAAGTACCAGACGTATGTAGCTTGTGTGGTGGAGAAGTGCCCTGTAATTCATCGCTCGGTTACTTAAATCAAAACTTGATTTTTTTCTTTATACAGGGAACAGGACAGCACAGAAGTCACAGACCTGGTCCCTGTGCATTGGAAAGCTGACAAACAGGCTATCCATCAAGTGGATGAGGGCTGTATCACCAAGACTTTTAATTTTGACAGAGTGTTTAGTGCTGTAGAAACAACGAAACAGTTGTACCAGGAGATCGCCAAGCCCTTGGTGGTGTCCACTGTTCAGGGTTACAATGGTGAGGCTGTCGGGCGTGTGGCCTTTCGGTTTCCTTACCTTGTGTTTTCATATTTGCTTCATCAGTGTTTTATGCTCCTGTGACAGGAACGATATTTGCATATGGACAAACGTCTTCCGGAAAGACCTTCACTATGATGGGGAGCAGTCATATGCCTGGGGTGATTCCGCTGGCCATGGAGGACGTCTTCCTGACCATCAAAAATGTGAGTCCGCGTACCGCGTACCGTGCCGGTCACTGGTACCAGTGGGCACCTCTGTCATGGCTGATGACCTTTCCTGTCTTAAGTGCCCTAAGAAGGAGTTCCTCCTGCGGGTGTCCTACATGGAGATCTACAATGAGACCGTCACTGACCTGCTTTGTGACAGTTGGAAGAGGAAGCCTTTGGAGATTCGTGAAGGGAACTATGTAAGATCCAAGACGTCGATTATTTTTTCGATAGCTAGCCGTCACATATCTCTGTGTCTCTGATTCACTGAGAACTCTTGTTTCCAGAAAAATGTCTATGTGGCCGACCTGACAGAGGAATTGGTTACGTCTGCTGATCAAGCCCTTGCCTGGATCAGGAAAGGCGAAAGTAGGGATCTTTGATGTTGAGCATGAATACAACTGCATTTTAATTATATTTTCCCTCGGATGAATGTGGATGAATGGCTTAATCCTTTACTTCTGTCTAACAATTGTGCAGAGAACCGGCATTATGGGAAGACCAAGATGAACCAACGCAGCAGCCGTTCCCACACAATTTTCCGCATGGTAAAAACTTTGAAGCCTGGTTTTCAGTCCTGGATCTGGGTTGGCCATAAATGCATTCCCATATGTATATAGTAGGACTGTATCGCCAAGTCTTATCGCGGTACAATGCGGCAATACACAAACCATTTTGCGAGACATGAAAAAGTAAAAACTTGTATGTAATAATTATCTCTATTTGGAAATTTTCAGAATTACCAAATTTATAATAAGACTAATGTCTTTGTTCTTCAATGGTGTAATTCAGAAACGTTACTTTACTTCACAGTTTGCAGTTGCATTAGGACACTACTGATGTCCTTATGATTAAAGCTCTTTAGTTTTGTCTAAAGTTTGTACTTCCTCCACTATATTTAAGCCTTGTTAGGCTAAGTTAAGTTTTATAAACATGGGAGTCACCCTTCACAGAAACCCTAATATATTTTGATACTTTATACTTTGTCTAATTAGCAGGTGTATTTTGGAAAGGTTTTTCCTAGGCTGTGGTTTCAGACAACAATTATACATCACGAGCATATTCTATTTAGTTTTTAATATATATATATATATATACACACACACACACACACACAAACACACACACTGAATAGGTAAAGTCTACATAAATGAACACTGCATGTTCACAAATCCTGTGATTTATTTTTTGTTTTTTTTGAGAGAATATTTGCACTCTAATTTTCAGCATGGTTTGTGACCTCCCGAGTCTGGATGTTGGTTCCAGCCCCAATGTATAGCTGCGTGTTTGATATTGCTTAATAATGTATTGTCACTTCATAGATTCTTGAAAGCCGTGAGAGGAGTGACCCAGCCTCTGGAGAGAACGCTGATGGCGCCATCATTGTGTCTCATCTGGTATGACGTCCTCGCCGTGCTGTGGCCTGTTTGCAGGGTCAGAGACATGCGTTCTTCCTGCACTCCTCCTGACGGTGCCTCTTTGTGTCTGACAGAACCTGGTGGACTTGGCAGGGGCGGAGAGGGCCAGCCAGACTGGAGCTGAGGGTAATGTGTCACTTCGCTCTGCCACGTCGCCTTTGCTTTGGTGTGGTACAGCTTCCTAGTGGAGTGTCTCTCTCACAGGTGCCAGGCTTAAAGAAGGCTGTAATATAAATCGCAGCTTGTTCACACTTGGGCAGGTTATCAAAAAGCTGTCTGAAGAAAGCCAAGGGTAAGTTTTCATGGCACCCGGATCTCACTGCGGCTGTGCACTGCAGTTATGAGCGTTGCTAAAGCTTCACGCTGGGCCTGTGTCTGTTCCGTACAGGGGTTTCACCAACTACAGAGATAGCAAACTCACCCGCATTCTGCAGAACTCCCTGGGTGGCAATGCGAAGACAGTCATCATCTGCACTATAACTCCGGCCACCGTTGATGAGACACTCAGTACACTTCAGGTGCAGCCCCTGCTCCTGGTGCCCTGCCCTGCCCTGCCCTGCCTCCCATTGCACTGTCCAGGTGGCATGGATGCTCAGGGTTGAGGGATCTAATTGTGTGTCTGTGTGTGTCTGTCCTTTGCATGTTCTCCCCATGTCACGTGGGTTTGGTCCTGCGGTCCAGGGATTAGCAGTCAAACTGGCATCTCGAAGTTGTTTTTGCTCTTTTTGTAGATGGAGAGGGTTGTGTTTGGCTAAACATTTCAGCTGTCGGGGAAAAATGACCATGATGCAGGTGGACCCACGTTCTGCACTGCATAGGCATTTTGAATAAGGATGGATGGATGATACAGATGGTTTTGCACAACAGTATCGAATATTCATGATTTCAAATTGTCTCAAATTATATACAACGCTACCTTTATTGTGTCGTTTTGTGAGAGGAAAAACAACACAATGCAATTCCTTTGCATTAACGACTAATCTAGCTGTGCTATATATTAGTAAAATTCCCTTAATGCATACCAACTGTGGTATATTTTGTCATGATTTAAAAAAAAATTTAGTAGTCTGTATGAACAGCCTCATGGGAATATGTGCTATATCACTAATGTCACATGGTCACTACTGCATCTACACAAATAATGAATCATGAATCTTCTGCACATTGAGCACTGGCTCATTAATCATGGGTATGTTCACAAGAAAGTTTAAATCTGTCTCAAGAAATCATCATGACCTGGATGGCCCAATCGATCGTTCTTTTTCCAGTTTGCCAGCACAGCAAAACGAATGAAGAATGACCCGCATGTCACAGAGGTGTCGGATGATGGTGCTCTTCTCAGAAGATACCGGAATGAGATTGTGGATCTTAAGCGTCGTCTGGAGGAGGCAAGTGTCTGTGTGTCTGTACTTCCTAACCTAACATCTGAGAGGAATCCTTTATCTCACAGCTGGTTAGTCACGGAATATATCTTGTTTGCCGTAAGCTTTGCCATAAGCCCTTTGGTCTCAACTTTTCACAGGTCTCCACAGTCACACGGACAGCCGAGACTGAGAAGGAGGTCCTGGCGCAGCTACTACAAGAGAAGGATCAACTGCAGAGAGAGCAGGAGGACAGGATCAAGAACCTGACAAACATCATTGTCACCTCCACAAAGTTTGTTGCTGTCAAGAAGGTGCTGGATGCTGTTCGTCTGCTGGTGTCTAATGGTCCACGATTCACACGATTCACCTTGAGTTTGTTAATAACCTATTGGTTCTCCTGTGAATGTTCAGGTGCCAAAGCGCAGGATGACCTGGGGAGGGAAGCTGCTGAGGCCACCACTGGAAGCCCAGAGCTGTGCTAACAGCGAACTGAGCTTTGCTGAGCCTTCAGTTAAGAGAAGGAAGGCGGAGCTACAGTCCTTGGGGGAGGCAGATGAGGGTGGGTCTTGTTTTCACTTGGGATTGATTAAATCCCACCAAACCTAGACACTTAGACTGTGACTGAAACGTGCAATTAGTGCTAATGTAATTTTCTTGTATGTCCACCTGTTACCTGTTCTCCCCTTGCTTTCTCAGCAGAAGGGGATGACTTTGACTCCCGATGGGACAATCTTGAGCAGCTGGGATTAGATGGGGACATGAACCAGAGTAGCATAACCATTCGCAGCTTTTATGAAGGGTGAGTTGTGGAAACCTTGCTAACCTGATACCGTGGCTCTATGTGGGTTTCCAGAGAGAAGCTGAAAATCGATTTCAGGTTGACTTAATGCTTTCTTTCAATGCTTACCTCTTCTTTACAGAGAGTTCTCCTCTCCTTGTTTGAATGAGCTGTCTGAGAAGGTGGCTGGTTTGGAGCTGCAACTTAAGACTGAGGCTCTGGAGAAGCAGGTGGCCCTGGAGACCAAGGCTGCTTTGGAGAGCAGGTTGGCTGAGCTAGAGCTCAAGGAGCAAGAGAAAAAGGCTTCATTAGATGTCAGTCTGACTGAGCTGGAGGCTGAGGTCCAGGAGAAACAAGAAGCCTTGGAGACCAGAACTGCTCTAGAGGTCAGACTGGCTGAGCTGGAGGCTGAGGTCCAGGAGAAACGAGAAGCCGTGGAGACCAGAACTGCTCTAGAGGTCAGACTGGCTGAGCTGGAGGCTGAGGTCCAGGAGAAACGAGAAGCCGTGGAGACGAGAGCTGCTCTAGAGGTCAGACTGGCTGAGCTGGAGGCTGAGGTCCAGGAGAAACGAGAAGCCGTGGAGACGAGAGCTGCTCTAGAGGTCAGACTGGCTGAGCTGGAGGCTGAGGTCCAGGAGAAACGAGAAGCCGTGGAGACGAGAG